TGTTGAACCATATTGAAAGTTGTTTTAGCGTTCTGAAGGCCCACATCAAGAGATTTCTTGCCTCGCGCACGAACCTGCTGTTTTATGCGCAGGGAGTTCAATTCTTTCCTGGAAAGTCGCATGCGATTGCTCGAAGAAGCTGCCCGGGAAAGCCTACCATGTATTACCCAGTCGTTGGTTATTCGGGAGGCTATGTTTTGTCAGCGCAATGTCGAGAAGGCGCTTCGATTCGAGGATATGTCCTATGGAATGTGACTTTGCACCACATTGATTGGAATAAAACACATTGTAATGGAAATGTGCAGTTTCTTTGTAACCATCCTTTGCGTTTCAAACGTTTTATATTTTTTATCGCCACATTGATTGGAATAAAGTGGCACTTTGATCGGGAAAAGGTGTAGACCTGGCCTTTCCTGACCCTAACCCTTCCTGCTCGCACCACACACCGCGCCGCCCGAAGCCGTCCACCGCAGACCGGGCCTGGCCGCCCGAATGGCTCCAGCCAGGCGCGTCGAGTGGGTACTAGGACTACGGGTATGTCCATCTTGGTAACGCAACACGGACGTCGAGTCGATGGTATGACCCCCCACAACCATAGTTGTTACGTTAAGATTAAAGTATTGGATTAAATGCCTGGTTTAAACTAAAAACCTAAAATTCAAAAATAACTAAGTAAAGTTGTCATTGAGCCGACATGAGCCAGGATGACTACTGTACATGCTTCGCTGCAACTAAGCTAATCCATCAATATCGCGAACGGTTCACATTTTATCCAATACACTAGCTCCAAATTGGAACGAACGATTTTCATTGGATATGATAATATTCAATCAAGCACAATGACCGTCGTTGTGCACTTTGAAAACGAGATACTTTTTTCGCGCGTTTGCATTATAAATTTCCACAATATAATACTTTGATGAACGCACTGTGTCAAATGCAGCCATCATACGACGACATCGTGGCAGTACTCAAACGTGTGGAGAATGGCGAGACAGTGGCTGCTGTTGCTCGCAGCTCGCCGTTGAAGTGGACATCAATGTTTAAGTACATAAAGATGAAACCTGACACTGGTGCAATCTCAATTGGACAACGTGGCGTCAAGCAGGTCTTGCCGTATGACATGAAACGTGACTTAGTCACATGGATTACAGCCATGCAGCAAGCCGGATGGCCGGTCGAGCGATTTGAAATCATTATCAAAGCGAGCCAGATCCTCACGAACTATGCCGGTGTCCCACGCAGCCTTAGCCGTGGGTGGTTTGACCACCCACGGCTACGACCACGAGCTCACAACGCGAGTAGCACAAAAGATCAGTCATGCTCGAAACTCGGTAAGGAATAACCAAGTATTTCGACGAGCTACTGAAAGGATGTCTCGGGTTTGTGTGTACCGCCCGAGATATCTACAACGTTGACGAAACCAGTTTCAAGACCAAGGGAAACACCAAGAAGGTCGTAGCCATACGTGGGTCGAAGGACGTGTGGAAAGGCGAACAATCGGACACCTATCACATGACCATTGTCATCACAGTGGCGGCGGATGGCACGGCGGTTCCCCCAGCCTTCATCTAACCCGGAAAAAGTTGTGCCGTGAATGTGCTCGACGCGTGCGCCGTTCCTGACGCTTTGGTTTCGGCAACGCCCAAGGCCTTCATGAACGCCAACCTCTTTGACATCTGGCTGGAAACCTTTGGTGAGTGGAAACTGAAAGCTCGAAGTGCTCGACCTGCGGTCCTTGTGATGGACAACTGCTCTTCACACCTTACCTACAACAGCCTAGCAATATGCAAGGCGTATGGAGTTTACATTGTGCGACTACCACCGAACTCGACCCACCTGCTCCAACCGTTGGATGTTGCCGTCTTCCGCTCGTTCAAGGCGAAGATTTCCAACGGGGTAACCCGACATCTTCAGTCGCTGAACACGACGACTTTACCTCGTCCGTTCGCCATTCAGATCGCGGGTGACGCCTACAATTCCTCATTTCGTACAGTTCATGACGCGGACAAACCGAGCTCAGCGGTTGTCAACGGCTTTCGTACCTGTGGGGTTTGGCCGCTTTCGCTTCCACAAATGCTCCGTGGGTGGGAGAAGGCAACGATGAATGGTTTGCGGTCGGACCAAGCCACAGCAGCCTGGTTGAAGACCAAGCAGAATGCCCGCGAGGAAATATTGACTCTACCACCACCCAAGGCAAAGGGACGCAAGCGTGTGGCCACTGAGCTGGAATGGTTCAGCCGCGATGGACTCTATTCATCTGCGAGTCAACCAGTCACGCGTAAAAAATAATGTGACTTGTTTGTGGAATTCGTAAGGTGGCAGGCCTTACTTCTAATTATTAACCAATCAGAGTGCATCATGGTTTCTTTGCCATATTATTGGTCAAGACGATCATTTTTATCGACTTCAAAAATGCAGAAGTACCGTTCCCAGCGACTCAAACAACTCATGCCACCATCAGCTTAATGCCCATGTCAGCAGTTAATCGCACTCTCGAGTACACTCACTCGCATGTTTCCTTAGTGCTTATTGAAGTCACGCATGGTCGATGCGAATTTCTCGTTAGGAAGGTCCAGCAGCATCACTACTACTTCATGGTTTCGGTGGACTGGGGCCAACACCCAAGGTCCTTCCAAGTCAAAATGAGGAAGTGATGGGTAAAACTACCGTCAGTAAGAATCATATCATCGGGGCATAGTCACCAAAAATTTGACCAAATCAAGTCGTTTGCCCGCGACGTTTCGGGGTTTCAGGATCAACGAGTAAATTGCTGTAAACGACCTATTTACAGTACCAGTAGTTGACGAGCTTGGCCCATGTGATTACTTGGTTTATGCCAAGATGCAAAACTAATAAGTCGACCAAGGTCGGGGGCATGTGCGACGGCACCCGAGCCCAGCACTTCCACCAGAGCGCCCACTACGCCAAGAACAACCACTACCTATGCTGCGACAAGACGAGGACCAAGTCATACTGCATGACCATCGCCCAGGCTCAAGCGTGCGGATAGGAGCAAGGGATCGCATTCTACCGGTAGTACTGTAGCTCACAAGCTACAGCAATGTAGCAAAGAGAATAGAACGATCCTATTATTGGCCAGTTATTTTCACCTTTCTATCATATAATTGGACAGAAATTTGGTAAGGCAGCCTGCCTTACGAATTCATCAAAAAGATGCGTTTAGAGGAATTTAAATTATTCCATACAAAGATGAAGCTTCATTCAATAAAATTTGAACTATTTCAGATCGATTTATGGAATTCGTAAGGCAGCTCACCTTGCGAGCCTACTAAAACCTACGGTTTCACCTTACGAATTCTGTATTATGAACATTTTATTACCATCTTTTTATGTATTGACAGTGAAGTGAAACATAATGAAATGCATGTAGGAATCTTAATTAATATAACTGCACGATTTCGCGGTATAATATTTTGTAAATTAATATTCCAAGTATACAAAACTAAGATATTACAGCCGTCCGCGAATTTCAATGTCACAAAATTTTCATCACATCTTCGACTATCGTTTATATCATCACGTACAAAAAGCTATT